CTGGGGTAATCGGGATGGGTGTGTCAGAGGCAATGAGATTGGCACAGGATAGAGCAGGGTTTAGGGCTGTTGTGCATAGGGTCACTATGAGTTGCAAACGACTCGACAGCACATAACAACAACAACAACAACAACAACAGTCAGGCGTATTTAAAGGGAACGCAAGCAGGTCTGTTACATTTACATTGATCTTTGCCATCTCTATTGGTCTTGACTAATTTTTCATGTTTTAGGTATTCTTTTGTTATCATTTCCTTTCTGTCTAAAGAATTTCCTTTAGTAATTAATGAAATAAGATTACTGGGTATCAATTTTCTTGATATCTCTTTATTTAAAATGAAGTTTCCCCCTTTAATTGTAGAAAGATACTGTCATAGGATATAGAATTCGAGTTGACATTTTCTTTTAGCTGTTTAAAACCTTTTTCAGTTTCTCATAATCTTTATCAGAAAGCTCTGTTCATGCCAGTCATTATTTCCCTGTTGAGAAGATCTTGTTAGGATGGCCCAGTTTTGTTTGGGGCCCAGTTGTAAGAAGTTGAGCTTCTAAACGAAAGTTCCAGCCCACCAGGTGCCCCACAAGTGAAAGATGGCCAATTCCTACACTTTATACCCTCTGAAAACCTGCCGGACGGTCAGCCTTGAATCTGTTCCGATTGGACAGTATGTCACAACAGTAGTGCCTTGTTATTCTCTGACTGCTTTCAGTAGTTTCCATTGTCTTGTCTTTATTTTTTAGCAGTTTGATAAGGAGGCTGTTGAAAAATTTCCTAGAGTGAAGCAAAGTTAACGTAATGCTCGGGGTCAGATGATTTAGGAATTAGGCAATACAGAGTATTTAGTGCTCCAAAGAAATGGGGCAGTGCAAAGATTTTTAACTTTCTGAGCGAGGAAAAAGAACTTAAGAGAAGCTAAGGCAGTTACCAGTCAGTCTTTTCAGATATTCATCAAAATGTTCCTTGAAGAGTTTCTTCTTTAAAAAGAACAGTTTCAGTTGGATAAATTATGTAGACTGCATTGAAACAGTTGAGGGAGAGAACACTTTAAAAGCGATATAGACTTCATTGAAACAGATGAGGGAGACAACAGTTTAAAAATCGATTTATGATTGGGTATTATGGTTTTGACAAGAGTCCAGAATGAAGGTTGTATAGTGGAGTGTACTCGGGGTGGTGTGGGGTGGGGATTGTATACAAATGAAAGAATTTTTCTTTTACTTTTCAAAGAGAAGAGCGAACTGGGGGTGGGGGGAGGGATGGGCAGGGAGAAAAATGCAACAATGAGTGAATGGAAATAGAAAAATCTGTAAACGTTCATTAAAATTAATAAAATAATTTAAAAAAATAAGTTTCACTCAGAAGATAGAAGTTGCAGGTCTTCAGGACTCAGTTCCTACTGAAATAGGTTTCCAGATGGCTGGGTACCTGTTTGTCTGAAATGTAGGGGCCAGAGATGGTTGGTGGTTGGTGGTGTTAGGTGCTGTCGAGTCAAGTACAACTCAGCGACAGATCTAAACGCTTTCCTGTCCTGTGCTGCCCTCATCATCTCAGACACACTTGAGCCCAGTGTGGCAGTCACTGTGTGCATCTATCTCATAGAGGGTCTTCGTTATCATTCACCCTGCACCTTTCCAAGTATGATAGCCCTCTCAAAGGAATAGCTGTCTCCTAGCAACATGTCCAAAGTATGCGGAAATGCTAATGTTACACTTCAACTCAAAGAAACAGTGTAGCCATTCCCTCCCTCCTAAGCTGTTCCCTCTGACCTGAGCCCACTGTCATTGAGTCTATTCCGAATCATCAAGACCTTCAGTGAGATTTCCAGGGCGCAAGGTATTTATGGGAGGAGAGTGCAGTTACTTCTGAGGATGAGAGCATTTATTGTTTTGACTTTTTGCCTTGTGAATCTAGGCCTCAGCAATTTTCTCCCAGCCGGACACAAGGACCTCCATCTTCTTTTCACTACCACAATATTTATGGGCATGACTTTCCTTCAGTTTGCATTTACCGAGTTTCTTGAACCTATAGTTTCTATCTCTTACGTATTTGAGAAGTTTTTCAAAGGCCAATAATATTCTATTGTTTTTAGCATTAATGCTCTTTCTTCGTCTCTTTTGGGGACTCTGATAACACAAATGCTAGCTTTTTGTCATTGCCCCCAGATCTCTGATGCACTGTTCATTCGCCCATCGTCCCTGCACCTGGAGCCTAGAAGTGGCAGGACGTAGGTAGAGAATGAAAGCAACCCTCTTGGAGCCAGCATTTCACCCTCGATGGAGAGAAAAATTGCACTTCTTCACAGTTTTATTTGCGTCTGGCACTGCTGTCATGGGATTGCTTGGAGACGGAGGCACAGGAAAATGTAGAAAAGGAAAAAACTTGTGTTCTTCCTCCATTCTCTCTGCTAGTTCAGAGGTCCCTTTCAAGCCAGAGTGGGAGTGATTCTTCTGGAGCCCTCCCTGGGCACCAGTGCCCACGTCTGGTGCATTGACTTCAGTCTGGGGCAAACAAGAGAAGAAGTGACAAGGTCATGGCTGGCTGGCTTTGCTATTTCAAGTACTTATGGACGTGTTTTGCATGATACAGTTTACTTTTTAAGAGTTCTCAAATTGCCGCTCGAATAGGAGTTTGGAATGTGCTTTACTTGGTGTTGTTACCTGGAAGGGAAACCCGTGTTGGCTTAATTTTGCCTTTGAAAATAGCACATAATTTGACATTTGGCTTCAGTATTGTTGTGTTTCCCCCCCCCCCCCCCTTACCTAGACTGATCCAGAAAACATGGCTACTGCAATTAGGGAGGTGGGAGTGTGGAGGCAGACCAGAACTCTCCTCCTGAAGAATTATCTAATTAAATGCAGGACCAAAAAAAGTAGCGTCCAGGTAAGTTAAGCGGTTGTTTGTTATGTATTGGCACAGTCTTTTGTTTGTTTTTGTATTTCCTAGGGCTCAAGGGCTGAGCCTCTCTGGTAGTTCAAATCCAACAAGTGGCTCAGTGGGGAAAGATAGACAATCTTCTTCTGTGGGATTTACAATCTGGAAAACCCCGTGTTCTAGTCCACGATCAGCAACATGCAAGAAAGAGGGACAGTATCTTCCAGCTGAGACTTGCAGCCTTAGAAGCTCAGTGCAGTGTTAGCTCTGAATCAGCATCCACTTGAGTAAAGAACAGAACTGAATATAGTTTTAGAAATGTCGATTTAGGTATAATTAAAGTATGCATTCTAATTTAAGTGTACATAAAGACAACTGGAGAGTAAATTACTTTAAATTTTACGTGAGCAAATTTGTTACTGTATTTTATATCAGTAATCCAAGCAATTTAAGTTTTGGCTTTTGTGTCACTTTAGACTGTGACTTGATTTGAGGTTTTTGAAATCTTTCAGTAGGACTGAATGTAAGATACAACATTCCTGTTTGGTTTAGTGCGATGGTCAGCACAGAACTTCTTTGGGGAAAGAATTGCTTTTACTAAGCCAGTGCCATTGGGTTGTTCAGACTCTGAGCAACTACACAGGAGATAGAACAGCCCTACAGGGTGTCCAGGGCCATGATCTTTATGGAAGCAGACTGCCTTATCTTTCTGAGAATAGCTGGTAGATTTGAAGTACCGACCTTTTGATTAGCTGCCAAGTGCTTTAACTGCTGTGCCACCAGGATATCTTATGCTTAAAAAAGGAGACGCAAATCCCTCATTAAAAAAAATTATTAATAGGCGAGCTCTGGTGGCCTAGTGGCAAGAAGCTGCAACTACAGTCTCAGAGGTGCACGGTTCAAATCTACCAGATGCTCTGCTGGAGAAGGAGG